AGGAGTATTATCGAAGTCGACTTTTTGTGAGGAAAGCCCCGTTTCACACAACAGTATAACATAAATTCCTAAGTGACAATGCAAAAATAAAATTCCATATTTTTGCTGAGTTTTTCCCCAGAAGAAAGATTTTTTATTTTTTATTTAATGACAGCAGTAGGACATATTTCTAGAAGTCAGTACTGTTCCCACTGTGATACCCGAATAACACAGGGGAAACAGATCAGGGTTTATGTAAAAGGACAGAAGGTATCGATGTCTTCTCTTATCTGCCTCAGCTGTGACTAAGCAGGACTTGCCATGAGAAAAGAATTCCGTTGCAGGTCTAAATCTGGTCCCGACTTGTATGCTGTGTATACGTTGTGTACAACTATTCTACCAGGATGCTCTGAAGTACTCACTCTCTCTTTGGAGTACTTGTTACTGTAGTCATCTAATAGCATTCACAATCTGCTGAAGAAAAAAAAAAAATCTGTCCGTCATTAACCCACACCGTCGATTTTAAATAAACGTGGCACTTTTTTATTTCGATACCTAGGTACTAAAAAGCATCATTATCCAATAAGTCAACCACAGAAAAAACAATACAAAAACAAAAGCAATTTGGTACAACGGAGAATTAAAGCATTATAACTACAAGAGACTTTTGTAAAACAGGTTTTATTCCCAGTGCAAAAGCAAAGGTTTCCTTAAACATGGTTTTTTGAGTGAAACAGTAAAAATGTTGACAAATGCCTTATCACTTTGCCTATTTATTTGAAGGTATAGTGACAACACTATTACAGATGTTTCACAAAAGCTAACACGGGGAAGTGTGTGTTTGTGTGTGTGCGCGCGTGTCATCAACCCTCAGCACCATCGTCTGCTTTCTTCATTCCCGGTGGACGAGCACAAAGAGACCCAGAAGGAAAAGCACGGCATACTGCAAAGTCAGAGAGGAAAAAGCTCAATCAGAGGGGCTGCACTGAGGTTCCAGAATCCGCAATGTTATGCTACGAAAATATGGCCCCTTACTTTGAATTTAGGATAGTCATTCATCAAGATTGTAACTATTCCAATGTATGGCACAAACCTGGAAGAAAAGGTCATCGTCAAAGGTTACGAGGGCCACGATTTTTTCTAAATACAGAATATAACACATTCTAGTCAGGGATATTCGCTCGCATTTATCGAGAATATCAAAGAATGGCATATTAAATGGGTCACTGCCATTCCACAGCCAGAACCGCCTGTCCCCCTCCCAGCAGCAGGGGGCGCCTTACCCCCGGGCTCTCCCCACCACATCCTTCTTCTCTAGCCAGTGCTGGCCCTGCTTGTACAAGCCTCTGTCGTCCACTGCATTATTGTCACCTTTGGTCAGGAACTTAATATCGCCATTCTCTCTGAAAATAATGAAAGAAAGCTTCATGAGCGCCCAGAGGCGTCAAGCCATCGTCAACCATTGCATACAAAATGTTAACGTGAATGAGCTATTAACAGGTTAATATTAATATTTCCAGAGTACTCTAACGGTGAGAACTTACTTCTCGTGAATCTTAAGTACTCTGTGCACTATTGGAATCTCCCTCCCTTCTATCCTGAAGACCACAATCTCTCCAACTCGGATGGGATCTTCTACGCGGTTGGTCAGAAACAGAAGGTCTCCTCGGTGGAAGGCGGGCTCCATGCTCCCACTACAAGCAGCAGCAGAATGGTATCCCACTAAAATCAGGCACTACGGCACATTTCGTCTCACTTTACAATGGCATCACATCAGAGCTCACCTGAGGACGACCACGATGGGGCTCTCACTGCCAGTCACCACCATGAGGCCTTTCCAGATCATCAGGGCGGAGGACACGATCATACCAAAATTTAATACCTGGTAATACAGCTGTACAGGACAAAATCATTCATTACCTTAAATACACTAGTTTTTTAGATGGTCTAATGCATTCATACATAGGATAAATTATGTCAAAGTCGTGCAATGAAGAAAAAAAAAGCACTGATGGAGGTATAGAAATGCAGAAGGTTTCCTACAGCCAAAGGTGTAGGAACTGGGGGAATGTCATTCATTCCCCCATTAAACAGGCGGTTGTATTTAAGTTGTGCCCACCTCGATCTCAAATGACACTACTTGCAGCGTTGAGTTTCTCAAGTACAACCTGGTTCCTGACTAAAAGCTCTTCAATAACACGTGCGGCAAATGAGTTAGAACACACATCAGCTGCCGTGGTAAAGGACTGTAGGGGCCTGTGTTCCCCATCCCACACTGGGCTCGTCACATCAGTCTCCGTAAGAATACAGCAGTGTGTTTATGCCAGATTGTCTAACTCAGAGGTGTCAAACTCCAGTCCTGGAGGGCCAGATCCCTACACATGTTTGGGTTTCTCCCCATTTAACACACCTGATCCAATTACTTGCACCTCCTTGTACTAATTGCCACACAGCTCTTGAGCTGAATCATTTGTGATGGAACAGAAAAAGAACTAAGCTACACAGGGCTCCAGCCCTCCAAGACTGGAGTCTGACACATCTGGTCTAACTGAAGGACGACCCCTACCGCAAAATCCACTGAAACAAGATGGAGCACATGGCCGCTGTAATGAAAATCTAACCTAACATATCATTGATAACTCCCTATGGTACAGCGGCCTTTACTTCCGTTACGCTGTAAAATGTGTTATATCTGCCTGCCCTGCGAGAACCATTCATTGCATTCAAGAGCCAGCTGCTTACACTGTGCATCACAAAAACTTAAAAAAAAACTCCAACTCGAAAAAAGGGACAACGCTTGGTTGTATCGGTAAAGATAACTTAAAATAATCATTTAATATATATTCCTACTTAGTAAAGTAATGAAATGGTACCAATTTCCGTAAAATATAAACATACTGGTTCACACTGCCATTTAAAAATAAAACCGACAAATTTTAATACCTTAAAATTTAATCTAAAATGCAATGTGTCGTTTATGCACGTTCACGGTGTTTTGGTTTGGATTGTCTTAAAATTATCCTCATCATAAGCGATTCAGCGGAAATCTTCAGAAACCACTAGTTACCGTTTCGTACCATAGGAGATCATCACAACCCAGTCAGAAAAAAACCTAAATGTGGACATCTAAAGGACATTGTGATCACAAGACCATATTGATAAATATTGCAAAATGCTACGCTTGCATACATAATCCTATTTTGCAAAAGTGAGAGCAAAAGGTTCGCATAAGGCAACGTGTCATAAACTGCAAACAGACAAAGCGAGGCGGCCAGCGACGTACCTGGCGCTTATTCATTCGCCGCACATCGTCGAGGAAGTCTAAAGACAGCATTGCTCACAGTTTATTTAATTGAACCACATAAAATTAAATATAACATATACGATTTGAAAATGAAAACACCGAATTGAATTTCCTGAAAGCGTTTCCGGTGCTTCACTTCCGGAAATTACGTCACTGGACCAATGGGATCGGAGGAGCGGACGGAGCGGGGCGTCGTCGGCTTGAATGGCGGGGCTGTTGTGAAAGCCTCCAGTGAGTAAGCCATTGGCGACAGTGGCAAGGAAAAAATCCCTAGAAGGAAGAAACCTTGGGAGGGACCAGACTCAAAGGGGGAGCCCATCCTCCAGGGGCTAGCAGGGAGAGTCAAATACGAGAGATTGCTAAGTGCCAAGTCATACTGTCCATATCATAAGATTTGAGACACAACCGAGGAGCAGGGGGGAGATGACAAGCCTGTGCCAACGCTCCTTCCAATAGCCAGGCAACCAGAAGTAAGGCAGCCGGGGGGGAGGTGTTGGAGGGGCATGGACACCCTGGCAGATTGAGGGTCCACTCAGCAAATCCTATTGTGGGGGCCCAAGATTTATAGCTAAGTCACTGCATACAAATCATTCACTTTATATACATTAATCTGGCACATGTTTTTTGTAGAAAAAGATGCACATATGACATAAATAGCACATTACAAACATACAAGATTGTTAATCATATGTTAAAATGAATTTGTTTAGTCAGCTTTAATACTCAGATTAGGAGTGCAATATCAGGGTTACTCTGCTCAGTTATCGGTTTTGGTTGTAAATCGTTCCTTTCAAGTGAACAGCTGTAGCAGGTCTCAGTACTACGGAATCATCCAAAAACAGAGAACAATGAAAACAAATCTGGAAGTTAATGGAATCTATGTTCAGTGATGTTTTAAAATGTTTATTAAATCTCAGATGTTCCTGCTTCACGCAATGTTATTTATATTCAACATGTTTATTTTTGTGCTGTAAAATGTTCATTTATGTGTCAGAGTCACATGTGACATTATTGTAAAATGTAAAATGTTTGAGTATGTAAATGAATATAAAAATTATACAGCTTCAACATTCAGGAAACTGACCCGATAACCTGTGATTATGACATAGTTTTCCAGTCTTTGTTATTATTACGCACGGTTACCCTCCTTCTCTCCAGAGACGAGAGCGCCCTGACCCCGAGGTCCATTTCAGAATGTCAGCAGTTGACAATCAGCAGACGTAGCTTAGCCACAACTTTAGCGTGACGGTGCCTGGCACGGGCGGGCTTATGGGCTGGAGATAAAAACACCCAGAAATGTCAACAGCACGGTGACATTTAAGGGCGCTTCATGAATTCCGTGATATCGGTCATCAGTCACACTTCAGTCTAGCCAATAAGAATGACGTTCATAGCAATTTGTTTTTTAATTACTAAGTCCGTTTTTCAAAGTGAATTAGTACTATGTGCTGTACAGTTTTATGACCATTGCATTTGGCTTTAACAGTTAAAACATTTGCATTTTATTTAGCAGATACATTAATCCCTGAAGTAACTGAGGTTAAGGTCCTTGCTCCAGGGCCCAATAGTGAAACTACTCTGCTGACCCTGGAATTCAAAGTTTGCTTAATTTGTGTGTTAATGAAGGAGATTCTACTTAAACTGCATGATATATCTGAGATCATGAATCCTGCAGAGTCATTCTGGTGCTTTCTTACCAATGTTACCATGACAAACATAAAAGCAGTGTGAATTTATTTACTTAAATGAAAATGAAATGCTCAATAATGAAATAGCACACGTTCCTGGAGTCTTGCCCCAGGAAGCAGAGGGCATAAGGGGAAAACCACTTAGCAGGATGCCGGCCCATCACAGATAGACAGATCCCAGTTGGCCCAACTGCTTTTTGGAATAGTGGGGGAAAAACCAGACCCCCTGCGAAGCCCACGCACATGGAACAGAGGTGGGATTCAAGCTCTGTAGGTTTCAGGTTGCTAAGCTACTCGCGACAGCCCCTCCTCATTTACATGCATGCAAAAACATATGCAAGTAGCATTTTTATTTATGACTAGATTACAAAGAGACAAGTCATAAAGGATTCTATGGGACAATTCAAACTGTGTTTTTTCCAAAATCCACTCACTTATGCAGATAATTTAACTCAGCTATAAAACACATTTATATACAATCAAATGTGAATAAAAACAATAAGTTAACCGCACATTAAATGGAGACATAGGATATAAATTGGAAAATGTACCATTAAATCTGAAAATGTAAACCTCACATTTTTATGGCAGGGAAGATCCCAATATAACATGCTTGCATATTCAAGTAGAGCGAGTACAGTGCTTTCGATAGGGCAGCTACAGGGCCACAAGTGGGTCAGAATGAACAGCATTTGGCTAGAGTGTTAGCTCACTCCAGGGTCCATAGTCCTTAAGAGTCAGTCATGTGGACAGGGGCGCCCCCTTGAGGGAAAATTTCATATGACATAACCTCACAAATTGGCATGATGCAAGTTGAGAGGGAGACCTATTACAGAACAAACAGCAACTCTACAGATGCGGGGGGGGGATTTAAAAAGTGTTAACAGTCATTAGCTCTATCCAGCATCAAGTTATATTAATGATTTTTTTTCAACAGTTAGAGAATTCTGTCCCAGAGATGGAAGGTAAACTCTCCCTATGCTTGACACCTGGTATATACATTTCGTAATTTACTCTTTACATTACAGATGTGTATTTCAGGATATAAACACCCCGTCTCCCACATACAAATTAAGTTTGACTGCAAAAACACTGAGGCAGACACAAGCAGCATGAGCCACAACCCGCAAAAGTAAAAAGTCACCGGAAGGCAGGTTCCTGTAATCGCTCACGAAAGAGGTTCAGTGCTTTAAAGGAGCTGATGTGTCACCCAGCGGTCCTAGACATGTGACAGGGGATGGAAAGTCACACAGCGGAAATCGGCAGCAGTGGACATTAAGGTTACAGTGACAATGTGAATTTTGAAAAGGTGCCAGGTGTACAGATGTTGGTACCTGTTTAAACTGTGTTTTGCTTTGATGGCAACTGATGGATTAAAGCAGGGGTGGCCAATCTTATCCGCAAAGGGCCGCTGTGTATGCGGGATTTCGCTGCAACTCCCTAATTAGATTACTAATTAGAGGACTGATTGGCTGAAGACTCCTCACACCTGGGTTTGAACAGCTGACCTAAAGGTTATCCCAAAAACCTGCATACACACCGGCCCTTTGCAGATAAGATTGGCCACCCCTGGATTAAAGCATCGTATTATGAAATTGTAACGGATACAAACAGCTTGGAAGTTTAACAATTATGACCAATAGTAAAGATCTTTCACCACTTTGTTCTTTCTGAAACATGACTTCCCATGTCATGGCACTTGCTGACTCGCTGGTCTGTCTTATTTCCCCGACTATTTCTTCTTAACGCATTCCTAAATAAGCCACGGTGTGGGATTTTGTGACGCAAGTGAAGGCCTCTTGGAAGAACTCTCCGGAACATTGGGGTTGCGCTCCCTCAAGCTCCCCCCTTCAGCACCCGACCCCAGAGCCTCGTTTACACAGTGGATCTCGCAGAATTACGGGCACTGGCCAACTGGGTCTCATAGTGACCGGGGGCACGTTCCAGTCCGGTCCTGCGTCTTCTGTAGGTAAACCGGAAACAGTGACATGGGCCCTAGACTCAATGACGGCTGAACATGAGTGAATGGACCCCCACGTTTATGTCGCAGCACTGGCAGGCTGGATCCATATGCAGGCCGCCCAAGGTTTCCGATGCGGAGACAAAACGAGCCAATAGGGAGGCAGGCTGGGCACCTCCAGGGTCATGTGACTTCAATAACTGAAAAATACAAAATGCAAGTCTGTAAACATCTGACTGGACTTTTGGTTACAGTTAATGAGTTAATAAGACCAAGCACTGTGGTATTAAAACAACTTTTTAAAAACATAACGTAACATCATTATCTATAAATCTACCATAACACGCCTTCTAAACTAGGGGTGGGCGATATCATCTTCACTGTGTATCAGCATATTTTCAAACGAGATACAGGATGAGACAATACCGCTTACAATTGTTATATTTTTGTTGTGTGTTAAAATTAAACCTGTGTCAAAGTTATTTTTTCTTTGACTGCATTAATGCATGCGCCGTTTTGATACCCAAATTAGGGAATATTAAGATTTTTAATAGATATAGATATATATATATAGATATATGGTATTCCCTCCTGGCTGTAAACAGCAGGAGAGCTTTGGTCACGATGTTGCACAGAAGCACAGGATTCAGAGCAAAATCAAAACATTCAGTTTCACGGTTCTATTTCACTGAAACCCCTGTATTTGCATTTCATTTTGACCACAAACCGCATTAAAAATAATGTGTCTGTGACAATGTGGCTCTGACACATAACTGAACATTTTGTCCGCTTCACCGAAAGTATATACAGTGTATCACTATTCTGCCAAAAATACCAAGATATGGTTTTTGGTCCTCATAGCCTTAGTCTAGAACCTCTATATAAGAAAGAAACCACGAATTAAAAAAACTTGATGTTCTACGAATATACATTCATTTTTATAAAAAAGACAAACGGCGGAAGCGGCCCCCAGCGTAGCTTACCCCCGATCCCCCGCCCGCATGTCCCCCACACGCCAGCGGCCTCAGCACTAGCCACGCTCCTCCACCTTCACAACAGCGCCTCCTCTGGGTCAGCGTCGTCGGTCTGCGTCCCCAGTGTCGCCCGTCCTCGGCCGCTGCCCGCTCCCTCACATTCTCGTTCCCGCCTCCGTAATGCCAATCGCTCCTGCTCCAGATCCCTGCGCAGCTGCTCCAGCGCCTCCCTTTCTGTCCGTATGGCCCGGCCCTCCTGCTCCTGGGCCCTCCTCAGCTGCTCTATGGCCTGCCTCTCACGCTCCAGAGCCTGGGCCTCCTGTTCTCTGGCCCTCTTCATCTCCTGCTCCTGGGCCCTCCGCAGCTGCTCCGTCAGCTCCCGCTGCTGCTCCAGAGCTCGTGCCTCCTGTTCCTGGGCTCTCCTCAGTTGCTCTGTCAGCTCTCTCTCTCGCTGCAGTGCCCGGGCCTCCTGCTCCAAGGCCCGCCTTGTCTGCTCCTGCTCTGACTGCCCTAGCGTTATTACCTCGAGTATATCTGTGAGGATCGACAAATATACAAGGTTATTTCTCTCTAATGCCACATGCAGACCACACCTCTCCAGCCTATGTGCAGGACATTCTTCACACATTGCATCCGTAAAGCCTCTAGGACTTTGAAGGCCTCCTTCCACCTCTCATACGAACCCCTTGTTTCCATCACGCTGCCCCATGCTGCCCACATCTGCTGAATTACTAGGAAATACTGTTTACATCTCGATATTGTTTACAATTATTTACATCTGCGCCACTGCCACCTTAAGCATTCTTTTGGGAGTTTTACTTACACAAAATGTTCTGAGGGCAGAACAATGTGTGTGTATGTGTATATATCTGTTCAGAGAGATAACCAATCAGTTCGTAGAGAGATGTTGGTTTTCTTATGTAGCTATGACTAATAACTGAGAATTCTTTGCATGGACTGTCTGGAAGTCCCCGAGGACCTGTTTGGGAAACACTGCTGTACATAACGGGAATGACAATACCACGTTATGTGACATATTCCTCCTAACAAAGGAGGCCCGCTGCCTCATGGGAAACTGCGACAGTCTCTCACAACATACTCAACTCACCAGGGAACCTTCCACCGATGCCACAAGCTTCATCTTGCAAAGATGGCCGCCTCAGGGAGCAGTGCACCATGGATCCTGCCGCCGGCTCCTCCCACCCCACCGCCGAGGCTCCGCCTTCTAAGCCATTATATTCGTTGGGATGCCGTTTGCGTAAATGCTTGTGCAGCTGGCTCTCGTTGCGCCGATAGAGGACGTTTTCCGAGCACAGCAGGCAGAGGGCAGAATTCCCTTCGTGCCCTTCCTGATAATACGCCCATATGGCTCCCTCCTTCTTGGGCTCTGAGACAGAGGAATGGGAGGGTCCGTTATGGATGCCAATGACCGTCCCGGTTCTGTCATCCTCACTTTTTATTTGTTCCTTTTCCGAGTCATCTACCACAATCGTCAGCATGTCTGGAAGAAGCACATTGGCAACATCAACCGTAAGAATGCAACTCGTGCAACTGCAGCACCAGACAGATGCACCCAACAGATTTACATCGCATTGATGTACGACCTTTGATAAGAGCTTTAGTTCTTATCAATGCATTTTCCATAACACCCACAATTCTGTGTTTCCCCTCACTTAACTAAACATTTAGATGCGTTTAGCTGCACAGTGACATCGGGGAAAAGATTCAATGCTGCACAGCACTGCCTTAAACATTCTACAGGTGGTGCTTAAGTAATTTCGTCTGATGGAAAATGAAAATGCAGAGAATTTATTTAAACGAGTTGATACGGGATATAAATAGATGGGACACCATTTCAATAAACAGCTGGAACTATTGTTGCATGCTGTTGAATTAAGTTCTACAGAAATTGCCATGATCCCCGTCTACACGGACAAACAGATTGAACATAAGAAATTTACAAACGAGAGGAGGACATTCGGCCCATCAAGCTCGTTTGGGGAGAACTTAATAGCTCACGAGTTGTTAAAATCTTATCTAGCTCTGATTTAAAGGACTGGCTCGACACTGCAACTCAGTGCAGATCTAATACGAATGCTATTATTATACTGATGTGCCATATGCACCGGATGAAACAGCTGTCTGGTTATGCGTCCCACATGCCTATAGAATTCACCATCTATGACCGATCCTGCAGGTCCACGGTGTCTATGCGAGATACATTAACATTAAGTTTTAAACCAAGGAAAAAAGCATAGTTTCCAGAAGGCAAATAGACGGACAAGCAAGAACTTCCAATATCCGCTGCAACAGAGGATGACACGCTGCCGATAAGGACGCGACCAGCAGTAGGAGCGACGCGCGGCTCAGCGCTCCGCCGGCCCCACCTGCAGAGCGGCTCCCCACCTGGGTACGCGGCGGCTGCAGTGGAGGCGGCGGCCACTGCGTGCGCGGCCTCCCGCGGGGTGCGCGCCTCCGCTTTCTTCTTCGCCTCCACGTCGGCGTACTCGGCGTGGTGCTTCGAGCGCAAGTGCTTCAGCATGTTGCTGGTGTTGCCACAGTGCTGGATGGCATCCAGGCATATCATGCAGACCACCTTGCTGGCGTCTTCGCCGGGTTGGTAGTACAGCCACACCGCGCTTCGCTTTCGGGACGCCATGCCAGTCTTGAACAGGTCCGAGTTTCGAGCCTTCCGGGCTAAATGTGCTGCCCCCTGCTGATGTGGAGGCCACGCTGTTACCCCAGACACTTAAAATAGTAGGTTCTGATCAGATTTCCCTGGGCAAAAGTACATATTGTATGGGGTACAAAATTAGATCGACTTCCCAGGGTTGCAAACTTTGGTCAGCCGGCTGGAGTGAGATAAGTCTGCAGACACAAGCACATGCATTTAAATGTATGTAGCATTTTTATTATTTTGTAAAAATTCGTATGGTTTGCAAACTACCCCGACAGTTTTTATGTATCTAATTTTAGATTTATGATGGAATTATATAGATTTGCCGTAAGATTTCTTGCGTGAGAGTCTGAAAGCGTGAAAGCTGGCAGGCCTGACTTCCTGCTTATACATGGTTATTCCATTTCAATGTGGCCGTACATTGTACGCGGTGAAGATAAACCGGTTTTCTAATCTCAGTGCAGTATGGAAATATTGTTTTACACAGCATGTATATGAAAGGAACATCTGGCTTCTGTGATATCCTTCCCAAGCAAGGTCGTGGATTTGGGTATTGGCGGTGGGGACATGTCTACCAATATCGTGGGAGTATCTTGTGCGTTTAGGGGCAGGGGTTTCGGGGCTGATATGGGCACTATACCAGTGCTGAAACCAAACATACGTCCTTGTTCCCCAGTGTTCAGGTTAAAAGCCTTTTAAAAATTCCAATAAATTATAAGACATTCGTTCATCAGTCATTGGAATTCGGTTAATAAAGGGCAGATCGCAGGCATAAAATAACCCTGTAATATATATTTCAAACACGACAGTGATAGTTACTATAAAGGCTACGTGTTTTTGAACATGGAGTAGCGCACACAAGTTAAATTTTAACTAAATAAATTAATCCTTGAAAATCTGGGTGAAAGGACGTCGGTATCATGCAGTTCACCATCCTCCATTGTTATTTGTAAAAATGCTACCCAAGTGTTCTGCCTTAAGACGTTGCCATTAAGCAAATAAACTTTAATAACTTTAATCTTTAATATAAATAAAGTCTACTTAAAAACAACTGATCAGCAGACATTTATTATAGCTATACCATTAAGTTGCAGACGGGCAATTTTAATACGTTGACCGCCCCAGAAACACTGCTTTATACGTTTTGTATAGCCTACTCTTCTCAGTCTGTGATCAGAGCCCTTCATTGCAGCTACCTGTTATAGGTTAAACGGCACTCTCGTTATAAAATATTCCATTACCTCCCCGTTTTACTGGGTATGTTGTCGAGCAAACTCTTTACAGGTTTTTTCAAGTAACACTGATGCTGCTGTAACTGACTGACCTTTCTGCTCTGTTATTATGGCAACTTCAGTTTCTTAAAACTACATTGGACATTATTTCTGTATACAGCACCAGTCAAAAGTCTGGATACACCTGCATTTAATGCATTTGTTTCTATTTTAGCTATGTTATGCCTTGATACAATGAAGTAATACATACACTATATGGACAAAAGTATTGGGACGCACCTCTTAATAATTGAATTCAGGTGTTTCATTCACACCCATGGTCATAGGTATATAAAGTCAAGTACCTAGCCATGCAGTCAGGTTTACAAACCATTGTGATAGAAACTTTCTCTGGCATTAACCCCAGTACAAAAACTGTGCTCTGGGACCTTCATGGAATGGACTTCCATGGCCGAGCAGCTGCATGCAAGCCTCACATCACCAAGAGCAATGCCAAATGTAGGATGGAGTGGTGCACAGCAGGCCGCCATTGTGCTCTGGAGCAGTGCAAATGTGTCCTGTGCAACGACGAATCAGACTTCTCAGTCTGGCAGTCTGAGGAGTTTCCACAAGTTCTGGGCAGTTGTACTTTGGTCTTACTCTTCGATCCAACTCATCCCAAAACTGCCCTATAGGGGTTAGGTCAGGAGAATTTGAGATCTGTTGCAGCACCCCATCTATTTACCTTGTAGATAATACAGTACTTACATAACTTCAAGGTGTGCTTAGGGTTGAAATATTGTTGAAAACTAAATGATTTTCCAGTAGGTGTGTCCTGACTTTTGACTCGTACTGTGCACCATTTACTTCATGACAGTGCAATATGTACAGGGCAAATAGAAAATACTTCATTGAATTTAATTATGCCAATATCAAGGCAGCTACTAAATTTCATTGCACTTGTGTAATCCACTTGTGCAATGACACAAAATCATTGATCCTGCTGTGTGTGTAACCGCTGTCTCGATACTGCCTGTGGTGTGTATATGTTTGTGCCCCTGCGATGGACTGGCTCCCCATCCATTGTGAACTTCAGCTTTGTGCCCTGTGCTGCCTGGGTGAGAATACAGGCCCTCATAACTAAAGCCAATAAGTGTTTGGAAGATGACTGCTTCGGAGCTCCATGTAATGGAAAAATGTAGACAATTTTCGTCATCTGTGTTCTAAAGCTATTAGCACAACCCAGCTGAATGTCACACTTCAAACGTGAATGGAGCGGTATTTCCAGATGACCCCCAGCCTACATAGAGAACCCCAAGTTTCTGCAGGGCAGTAGAGACAGCCAAAGTGAGGTCTTAGACTAAAGAATGTCAGGGCGCTCCAGAAGAAAAGGATTAGTACTTCATTTGTTTCAGTCAACCCAACACTAATGATGTTTATTTCGGGTAATGTGTTTTTTGTATGAGCATTTAGTCATTGACAGATATTGTAATAGAAATTATGGCTGAAACAATTACTCAAATAATTCGATTCATTAAAATCCTCAAGGCAAATTCTCTGCCTCGATCATTCGTTTTTTCCATCCATCCATCTCCTACCACTTTTCTGGGTCGAGTCACGGGGGCAGCAGTCTAAGCAGTTAAACCCAGACTTCTCTCTCCACAGCCACTTCGTCCAGCTCCTCCAGGGTAATCCCGTGGCGTCCCCAGGCCAGCTAAGAGACCGAGTGTCCTAGGTCTTCCCCAGGGCCTCCTCCCAGTGGGACATGCCTGAAACACCTCACCAGGGAGGCGTCCAGGAGGCATCCTGACCAGATGTCCAAACCACCTCATCTGGCCCCTCTCGATGCAGAGGAGCAGCGGCTCTACTCTGAATCCCTCCTGAATGACCGAGCTCCTCACCCTATCTCTAAGGGAGAGTCCAGCCACTCTGCAGAGGAAACCCATTTCGGCCACTTGTATTCACAACCTTGTTCTTTCGGTCACTACCTACAGCCCATGACCATAGGTGAGGGTAGGAACGTAGATCGACTGGTAAATCGAGAGCTTTGACTTTTGGCTCAGCTCCTTATTCACCATGACAGACCGATGCAGCGCCTGCATCACTGCTGACACCGCACCGATCCGCCTGTCGATCTCCCGTTCAATCCTTCCCTCACTAATGAACAAGACCCCGAGATGCTTAAACTCCTCTACTTGGGGAAGAACCTCCTCCCCGACCCGGAGAGAGCACTCCACCCTTTTCCGGCTGAGGACCATGGTCTCGGATTTGGAGGTACTGATTTTCATCCCAGTCATTTCACACTCAGCTGCGAACTGCAGCAGCGAGAGCCGAAGGTCACGGTCCGATGAAGCCAACAGAACCACATCATCTGCAAAAAGCAAAGACCTAATCCTGAGGTCACCAAACTGGACACCCTGAACACCCTAGCTGCACCTAGAAATTCTGTCCATAAAAGAATTGGTGACAAAGGGGAACCCTGGCGGAGTCCAACCCTCACCGGAAACAAGTCCGACTTACTGCCGACAATGCGGACCAAGCTCTGACACCGGTTGTACAGGGACCGAATAGCCCTTATAAATTAGCCCGGCACTACATACTCCCGGAGTACACCCCACAGGACTCCCCGAGGGACGCGGTCGAATGCCTTCTCCAAGTCCACAAAGCACATGTAGACCGGTTGAGCAAACTCCCACGCACCCTCCAGGACCCTGCCGAGAGTATAGAGCTGGTCCACTGCTCCAACCCCCTTCCAAGGACTCCAAAAAGGGTGGGTATTCTGAACTGTCGTTTGGCGCATAAGCGCAAACAACAGTCAGGACCCGGGAAGCTACCCTCTCGTCCACTGCGGTAAACCCCAACACACAGATGCCCAGCCAGGGGGCAATAAGTATGCCCACCCCTACTCGGCACCTCTCCCCGCAAGCAACTCTAGAGTGGAAGAGGGTCCAACCCCCCTCAAGGAGACTGGTTCCAGAGCCCAAACCGTGCGTCAAGGTGAGCCCGACTATATCTAGTTGGAACCTCACAACCTAGCGCACCAGCTCAGGCTCCTTCCCTGCCAGAGAGGTGACATTCCATGTCTCTAGAGCTAGCTTCTGCAGCCGAGGATCAGACTTCCAAGGTCCCAGGCTTTGGCCACTGCCCAACTCACATTGCACCCGACCCCTTTGGTCCCTCCTACAGGTGGTGAGCCCATTGGAAACGCGTATCCATGTTGTTTCTCATCATAAGGGGTCTATAATGAGCCGCACTTCGTCTAGTTCCTCACCCAGGACCTGTTTGCCTTGGGTGGCCCTACCAGAGGCATAAAGCCCTGGACAACTTAGCTCCTGGGATCACTGAAACACGCAAACCCCTCCACCACAATAAGGTATTGACTCCAGGAGAGGTCATTTGATTTTTGATCCACGGAACTATGATGCACAGGCAGCAGCAGTGCCTGGACAATACTAACTGGAACACCAAGTGGGGAACGAAAACCGAGAAGGAGGAAAGGAAGAGGCGAGTGGTAGATAACGGCAAAAACATTATGTTCTCAGGTTGAAATGCTCCCAAACGTTTTAGTGTCTTCCTTTAGCTCCATTTCCGTGTTTTAGTAAGTAATTAATCTTGATTTGAAAGGTGGCTGGGAGAGGCCAGTAACGCTAATTACATTCACAAAGAACTTGGATTTTGTTGCAATGCAGTGGTAAACTGCGAAGTTTAATTACGTAAAAATTTGCGTTTTGAGTTTTCAAAGGTTACAGACTGCTCATTCAGCTAAATTCTCATTCTTTCCTCTGACATTGATATGGTAAAAACATGACTCTTGCAATACTGCTGAATCCAGTGCCTGTCTCTGGGGGGGGCTAACTGTTAGCAGCTAATTATGCTAGCCTCTAGCACAAACTGCTTACTATGCCAACTACAGATGACTGTGTTTCCAAATGGAAATGTGATTTTTGTACATTCTGGACTGCCGTGTGAGCAGATGTGCAATAAAGTGCAAGTTTTGGTTGGAGTATTATGTGCATGTTTTAATATTTTGTAAATAA